TGGGCCGCCGTTGTGCTGGCGCCGGCTGCCTGTGTCCCACAGAGGATATTTGTGTGCAACAGGTCCAACAGCGGCTGTCTGCTCCTTAACGTCCTCACAGCCCGGGCTGCCGGTGCACAAGGTGGGTCTGGAGACCAAGGGACGTCGCTCTTCCAGTGCTTCCCTTAACCAGCCCCAAATCTGGACGTGCACGGTCCCCATCTCCTGTGGGTAGCTGGAGCCCGGCCAGAGCAAGGGTCTGGGCACGGAGAGGTGTTTGAGGTGGCAGAGCATCTCCAGGGAGAGGGCAGCCCACGCCAAGCACCCCTCGAAGGAGAGGGCTTGGTGGGTGGGGGCTGTCTAAGCCCCCCACCAGCACTTAACGAAGCTGAGAATTGCAGTTTTAGGCAAGTCCAGGGGGGACACACACAATAATTTCCAGCCCTTGAAAGAAAGGAGCTTTCTGTGAACTACCTCTGCGTGGCAGCGTGAGCAGCACCAGGGCCAGGCTGACCCCAGGCAGCTAGTGAACAGCAGTGATTTGTGGTCCCTGATTGGGACACCATGCTTCAGAGTTGGGTTGGGTTTTTTTTCCCCCTGAAAGGGAAATTCAGGTAGGTATGGTGAGATGAGATGAGATGAGATGAGATGAGATGAGATGAGATGAGATGAGATGAGATGAGATGAGATGAGATGAGATGGTCTATGGGAGATTTAGCTGGGCTGGTGGGAAAAGGGAGCCATGCAAGCTCAAAGGTAAAGCAACTCCCCTTGACAGTCACTGGAGACCTTGTGTCATAAGCTTCTAGGGGGGCTGTCAGTGGGACATTGGAGATAGTTTCCAGGTGGGATGTTTCCAGGTCTATCCAGCTCCAAAGGCAGAGTAGCTGTGTGATCCTCAGGCATGTTTTATTCTCACTTTGCACCTCAGATGTGAGGCTCTGTGCTGTGGTCACCCCCAGGAAAGGGCTGGGTGAAAGAAGAGAGAAAGAAAATGCTGGTTTTGCCCTACAAGCAGCCAAATGTGTGGCCATCTGCTGGTTTTTTTGGGGCCATTAATCTTCTCATCACTTACGGCTCAAACATGTCTTAGACTTGTTCGTGGAGGATGGATATGGTTTTTGGCTTTGTCTTGCTATTCACAAATGGGTAATAATGTTTTTCTAAGTTGGGTTGTGGGTTTGAGATTTCTTGAAAAATCATTCTTGCTCGCCAAATTGGTCGGCCAGCCCCTGCTGAGCAAAGAGGGAATCTCAGTTCTCTGAGAGGGGAGACTTTAAAGCACAAAAGCGAATTCTGCCATTGCCCTGATTTCAAAGAAAACGAAAGCAGGACATCAGGAAAAGCTAATGAGATAAAATAATAGAGCTGGCAGAGCTGTTGCTCTTGCTAAAGCCCAGGACACAGCTGACCTCTTTGTAAGTCTGTAAGAACAAT